CCCCCGCCCCGCCCGCCCCCCCCCCCCCCCCGGCCTCGCCGGCAGGGGTGGCCCCGACCCCCCGCCGGGCGGGGGGGGGCCGGGGTTCGCAGACATAAGTTTCTAAACTCAAGAGAAGCGCGTACGAAAGTTCTGTTGTTTTCTCCCTCATGCTTAAAAAATTTCTACTGTTCTTCCTTACGATTGGGTCACACATGATATATCTGGCAGCCGCTTTTCCATGAACGAGGCCAAACGTTCCGTTCACTTAAGTTTCGTCATCAAGGGTAAGGAGACGAAGAGATTTTACGTCCGTTTCTAAATTCTGTATTCCAGATAAAACCAAATTAAATTACAGAGACTCTATGAACTACACAAATTGAGTCAATAACGCTATGACGCTTTCAGACTTTTGAGAGTCACATAACTAGTGAACTCTGTCTTCTGTAAACTAAGCTGCAAAATATGGACGTTCTCATCATGAAAAATATGTATCAATTTCATAGTATCAAGATCGAGTTACAACAGAATGAATAATAATGCCGACAGTACATTCATTCGACTTACAGGCAATGGACTTAGTGAATCGTTGCGACCCACATTATTTATAGTTTATACGCTGATAAAATGTTGACTCGTTCGAAAGACACAAATAAAGTGAAAGAACAATTAAGTAGAGAAAATCTTACACATCATTCACAATGGAAGGATAAGGATGCACAAAATTACTCATTTCCGCAGCTAAGCGAACAAGAGCTTTGTGAACTGGACGTCTCCGAGAAGATACTAAAAAGAAAGTTTTTCATGACTTTCCTGAAAACTGATTACTTTGTTTTTTTCACTGATGACTGATTACTGTGCAGTATGCAGCAGTGCATCATAACAGAATCAATAATGCAAAACAGTTTCTTTCTTATACAACGCAGCTGACATGTACGTAAATTAGAAAAGCGTTTCTCTTTAGGAATATTTCAAGTGAAGCAAGCCTCGTCGTATGTTCAAGAACATTTAAAATCATCAGCAGCTTTTCCTCAAGATTTTGCGTTTACGATACAAACAGCGGACAGTGTTGACGATTTAGTAAAAGTTCGGTGTCAATCACGTCATTCTAATAGTGCGATATATAACACATATATTGAATATAACAACAGCATTCTAAATCCAATTTCCGGATGGTTTTGTACTTATACAGTTAGCGAACGAACGGTCGGTTGCTGCAGTCACATCGCTGCCACTTTCTGGCACCTTTGTTTGAATCAGACGGCTATCCAAGACATTAATCAACCATCAAATAATTATCGTAATCTTGTAGAAGATGATTTACAGTTTTCTGATTACAAGAATTCGTCGGAGGAGGACGATGATACAATATTGTATCAAATAAACTCGAGCTAAAAGCCAGCTTTTGCAAATCGACGGAGATATTTTGAATATACCAGTTTGTATAGAATTGAAAGAGCTTTCTAATTATGGATTGGTTTCTTTATATGCTCCTATAGTGCCAGAGAAAAGCACATAAGAAGGATTTTAATAGTGCTCTATAATGGTCGCTTCCAAGTGAAGATCCTATCGGGATGGAAGGGCTTTAACCACTCGAAAGCACCTAAATCGAATGTTCCTGGTTTTCTGCTAGTCACAGGACCATTTTGAGCAAAAACAAAAAGTGGGCCGATTCTTTAGCTTATACGGACGCGTCCTTTATTCATTTCTGTCGATGCGTAGATATAGATGAATATCATTCTTTTTCCTTTTTCTCGCTTAATTGGTAGAAAGAGGAAAAGCTGATATGTACAGAATAGAATTTACAATAACAATAATAAATTTTCGTTTCCTATTACCAGTTGCACAATCTAGAGTAGCCTGGGGTAGTTATGACCACGGAAAAAAAATTTCTTAGTATCCTTGAAGCTCTGCAGCTGTCTTTCACCAAAAAAGGGATATTTCACCGGTAGATAGAGCTGAGTCTTACCTATAGCGAGCAGATATCGACTGATCATAATTGCCCTATTTGGGGTAAACTTGAATGAACTTAAACAACTTGGTGTCGCCGGAGAATTTTAAGCAAACAAATTAAAGGTTAGTTCATTTTGTAGAGAGCTCTATTTCTCATGAGAATTGCACATCATGCGGACTTGACCTGAATTATTTAATGTGACATTATGAAAATCAAAAGAGAGTCATTTCCTCTACATATATACGCTGGGGTAACACTGACCAATTCGTGAACATTACACGGAATAAACAGAATTTGGCGTGCGCCAGTCTCCAGAAACCGACTTTTAGTCTAGTTCAAGTGAAAAATGTCTTCAAACTGTTATAATTAATTAGATATGAAAAAAAATTTAAATTAACGTAAATATGTATAAGACGAATAGTTATAAACCGATTTAATGTACAATTAATTAGTGGACAGACAACAAAACGAATATTCGTATGTTAGAATGGAAAGTACTACAAAAAAGCTAGATCGTCCGATGAAGCGACTTCGCGAAGTTAAAAAAAGCCTATAAAGCTGATTCGAAGCGAACTGAAAAACATAATGTGCGAATCATAATATAGATATATAAATTGTTCTTCTTGTTGTGAAGATTTCTTCGAAATAGAAAGACTACAATACTAATAGACCAAAATACAAGAGTAATGGTTATTTTTTGAGTAAATCAGCACCAAATAAAGATAGAGGCTTGTAATTTTCATCATTCGATAGCCAAACCTTGAGGCAATCTTTCTACAAGCAAAATCGATTTTTGGAAAAGTTTCTGAAGCCGCATGTCCAAAAGGTCTTTGGAAAATCAGCTTGAATTTTCTAAAATTCAACCAGGAATCGACTAATTTTCTGAGAGCATATGTAGTCCGAAGTGTCCTCTACGAAACCGACTCTAAGCGGCAGCTTGAAAACCTATGGTTTGGGAGCCATAGACATTTTTCCTGAAGCCTTAGCACTCCTCTACCGTTAGGGATTGTACGAAATGGATGAAAACATAGGTTATCGACTATGCTGAAGCTCGTGGCAATACTAGTTTCCAGAACAAAATGCAAGAATGGAGTGAAAACCTATACTTGGTCAAACCCATTTTTGATTATTTTCATTATTTTCATTAAAAATTAAATAATTCATAATTCAGTCCAAATCCATCCAACCTACTTCAGAATGTCTGCAAATACTCTCTTTTAGTCGCTCATTCTGATTCTGTACGTAAAATCAATAAAAGTACTCTTTTAGTTCTAACGGTTTCTAGGAAACCTTTCTAGAAACCAAAGTATTTTCTATTGATTTTTTCGACATTTATTGAGCTTTACGGTATGCTGCAGATAAAATAGAGTATTTGCATACATCCTCTTTGCAGGTATCCTCTGGTCACTTACTGACGCAATTTGGAACGAGTAAATTTATATTATTCTGCGTTTTCAAATTACGGCCACTTTTTAATTAGTGAGTAATCAACAATCGTAATTTAAAATATAGATATATAAATTAGTCGCTTTTCAGAAAAAATAGAAGTAGAAAATTGTATAAGAAGAATTGATGACTAT